GGGCTTCAACAAGACGAAACAGGTCGTCGTCGGGCCTAACTAGGGGCGATGGCCTGATGCATCGAATGGTTTTTCAACGTAGAGTGTACTGTATCTTGACCGGGCCATTGCTATATCTCCTAGAACTATCCTACTGTAATGTATAGTAGCACTAACTATAATCATAGTTTTATAATTGCCAAGCAGCTACAGTCGCTCGCCCTAACCATCTCAATCGCTACAACGTTTACATGACCAATTGCGAAAGTATAGCATTTGGCTCCGATGGCAGATAGGGTTCTACAGGAAGTTGGATTGTCCCAACAATGTGCTTCTGAAGACATGTGTTGTACAACATTCCGAGGGCGACTAGCTACTAGCTAGCGCTGCGGACTGGCATTGAATATCAAGTAAAATTTGTGGTTGTCTCTCACGGAGAGATATGATTGTGTCGTTGGCCTTGTTTGCATTCATCCAGAACGGAGGTATAATACATACTTGTAAATACACATACTTCACTACTGTCTTGTATCTGCCCCAGGCTCGTTTCTCTTCTCTACTTCCAATCCCACTTCGGAGAGAAGCCGAGCACGCGCTTAGCCTTGTCGATGCTCAGGAGAGTGTCGTTGGGCCCAGCAGTGGGCGTGTATGGGACGCCTGGGAAGGCAGCGGCAACCAACTCGGCGTTCGGCTTGCGCATGGTGGTGTTCTAGATGGTATCGATGGACATTAGTTTTAACACAGGTAGCGGAGGAACATCGCGCAACGCACTGAGTTTGCAATGAGGAACTGGTGATGGCCCGTGGCCTTGTACTCGAGTGACTTCCTGATTGCCTGACCACCCTGTATATGGTAAGACAGATCAGCGGTGTGCCGTTGAGGGTATGGTTGGTGGCACATACGTCACGAGCATCGATATAACCGAACACGCTGGGCGAGACGACAACGTTAATCTATAAACCTGACGATGGTCGATCGGCTTGGCACACTCACTTCCACTTCCTGATCTTCGGATCGTCCTGCCAGGTCTCAAACGCGGCATAGTCATCGGGCGCCATGACATTGGAGAATCGCAGGGACACAATCTTGGTGGACGGATCCCAGCGAGTGTACTCCTCTGACATCACCTGTGGTATGGGGTCAGAACCTTCGCTTTGTTTTTCATGATTACACTGAGGCACACCTCGCCAACTAGCTTGCTCAGTGAGTATGCACTCTCGGGCCTGCGAGGAGAGTTTTCGTCCATGGGGATACGGTCGGGCAGCCAGGGGTTGAGCGGCAAACCGAGCAATGTCTCGGACGATGCAAGAACGAGGTTCTTGATTCCGAGCTTACGGGAGGCTTCGAGGATGTTATACGTCCTAAAGTGGCGGCAAAGTCAACGCATATTCCGGTGTACGTAGTTACGGGTATAGACGCACGACATGGTGTTTAGTTGGAACTGTGTGGACGAGGCCATCATACCAGGAGCAGGGAGAGCTGCAAGGTGGACGATGGCGTTGACGCCTTTGTATTTCTGTGAATCCCAATGTCTCAGCGTTCTGTGCACACGGCAAGCAGGCCGGGTAAACGTACCGTATCGACGTCAATAAGATTCTCAATGACCTGACCCATGTCTTCCAGATTTGTTTGCATGAAGATGATCTCCTGTGGGATGGTGCTTGGATGTGGGACCCTGTCGAAGTTGATGACTTCCCATCCATTCTCGTACAGCTCGATCAAGGTGGGCCTGCCGAGTTTACCAGACCCTCCGGTGACGACGACGCGGGGCTTGCGAGCCGCTGCAGCGAACTCATCAGCAGCTTGAGCGAGGGCTCTCTCGGACGTGAAGGACAAAGGCGACATGGTGTGCAGGCTAATCTCGCGGGGCAGCCGATGCGCAAGATATCGATAATGCGCGCTGATATATGTGCGACGGTGGGCAGCATCGTTCCGTCGGTATTCCGAAGACGGTCAGCGTAGTCAGCCATCAGCCCGCTGACGATGGGGAAACAAGGTGACGACAAGAGAGTGAGGACGGTGTGAGCCCGATTAGAGGACGAGCAAGGGACCTCATGATCACCTTGCGCCCTCACGGTCTCTTCTACTTCGACTACCATCTCGCGGCGAACCTACCGTTTTGTGTACACCTCCCGAGCTTTTCTTTCTCAATTTAACTTATTTAACTGACTGTAGACGTATGAATACGAAGCTCATAGTCATTTCATTTAACTACGCTATTGCTGATGCACATTGAAATGGGACACATACGAGACAGCTCCAGGTCCTTTAACGTTTTTCAGTCTCAGGATCAAGGTGATGCTGCAGCTCTCGATCAGGCTTATAATCTCTCATGCCAATCCGTCGAAGCATTTTTTCCAGTGGGTGACTGCTCACATGCCACTGCCACTTATCGTCAGCACTATAGGGACGAAGCTGCCCCGGGAGTTGTCTCCACCTGACATTCTCAAAATTTGACTGTGCCAGCGGTCTTCCGCAAGTTCTTCCGTGTTCTCGTATCCAGGCCTGTCGGTGCCAGACCCGTCTCTGGTCGGGCTCTGGTCATGCACAAGACAATCCCGCGTTCGTGACAGTAGTTATACCCGCCACGGCCCGCGAGAGCGACGCATTGCCAAACCGCAGGCCAAAGCTTGACCAAGGCTCATACATGTGAATGAAGCTAGTGTTGTCGAGCATTCGGCCAACTCGTCAACCTCCTACTCGTAGTATATATTGTTAGTAATTCATTAAAATACATCGGCTTGATTGTCAGTATGAAAGAAGACCATGAGGCAGAATACCAAGTCACAGTCCCACACGTCCCTTATGGTATCGTCAAGCTCTGTGTACAATCCGACTCTTCTTATACTTCTTCTTCGGCCCCGCGTCGCGCTTTGTAGTCTGCAACACGGCCTGCTCCTCGTCCATGAACCCCACCGTGATGTCGTCGAACCGCTCCGCATCCTCGATCGCTTGCTGGTCTTCGGGCTCCCAGCCCTGCCAGACGTCATCTCTGTTGTCCTCGACCGGCAGGGGCTCGGCCGTGCTCGACGGGGTCGAGATGGACTCCCCGGAATCACCTGCACCGCGTGATGGAGACGGCGAGACCGTATCGTGCCCCCCTGATCCCATATTTGAGTCCAAGAAATCTTCGTCTTCTTCGTCAAACTCCAACGGCACCGAAGACGACAATTCATCATCCGGATGCGCGGCAAGCCGGGGAGAGCGAACTTTGCCAATCTCCCGGCGCAAGCGTCCGAAGCCTTCATACATGCTATCATGGAGGCCCGCTGCCACGTTGCGGATCGGGATCGCATTCTTGAGAGAGCGAGTATTCGAACCTGGTGTACCGTTCGGGTACATGGGGAGAACGGGTGGAGAGGGATTCATGTAGTGGATCTCGGCAGACAACGCTGACGCAAGGGGCTCATCAAACGAGGATGCTGCTTGATCGACATCACGCGCGGTGGGGAGCCCTTGCACGAAGAACTCGCCGACTCCAGCTGAATAAGCGCTCACTTCCACTTCTCGACGCACTTCGAATTTGTGTGCCGGTACGTCAAATTGATGGCTGCGAATGAGAGCATGATAGTCCTCTCCAAACGAATGAAAAGTGAACTGGTGCGATAAATACACTGTGCGAGGCAAGACGCGAATAGAAGAGGAATGCGTGGACAGCTCCGCGCACGACAACCAGCTGGAACGACGTGATCAATCAGTGGAGGTCAGAACCGGATGCTTATGAGACTCACTCCTCTTTCGTAAGTTGTGTCGGACGTGCCACCTTGCTTCGTGGACGTATAGGTTTTCGCACCTCCGGCCAATCACGCCCCCGCCTCAAATTCCAGCTACCTACTCGACGTTCCTTCCCAGCGAGTTCGGACGATCGGCCCATCATCTGGGTGAGCCCGGAGGCCTTCCCAGGGCTTGTCTGCGTGCTAGATGGCGATGTGCTTAGTCTTCCCAGCGAGTTCACACCGGGAAGCGACATGCTAGTGTTGCCAATTATAGGAATCGAGCTGGCAGCCAAGGTGAACTCATTAGCGCCCCGCTCAACCACGATACGGCGCAGCGACAGGGTGCCATCGTACGGATCGAATACGAGTACGTCCTGATTCGCGACTTTACGTGACGCCTGTGTCGACGAGTGGTTCGACGATTGGACGGATGAGGGCGAAGACGATGCTGTAAAGGAAAGGGCAGCGGGGGGTAGCAGCGACGAGGGGATGGATACTTCGATCGGTCGAACAAACAAAACCGCGATCGGAGCAAGGCCTCGCTCTGGATGTGGGGTCTTGTCCGATCGCAGACGGATCAGTGGATGTATGTCGTTGGAAAGGGATGGCTGTGTGGTCTAAGTGGTGAGCTACGAACTTCTATCGGAAGACTACACAGCACTCACCAACACCGACGCATTCGGAACCCTGCTGGACAGATGGCTGAATTCGTCCGGCCTGCCGCCGTAAGGATTCACCGCGAAGACGTGCACTGTGCGGTTGCGCGTGCCGATGGCGAACCACCGCCCGTCGTGCGCCCATTCCATCGAGTCGATCACAGCGGATGTCCGTCCGCGCCGGAGATCATACATATGCCACGGTTGGGTGCCTTGTCCATGCACACCATCAAATGTCGGTGTATCTCTCCCGCGCTCCTGCGCCGACTCTGCGCTAGAGAACGAGCGCAGAGTCCTGGGAACAGGCCGCAGCTGGAAGATCCGAGCAGAACGTCCGTCCTTGAAGCAGAGTGCCAGGGATGTCCCATCCTCAGAAAACTTGAGACGGGTTATGGGCTGGTGCTTCGACCCCGCGAATTCGGCTATCTTCTCGGGTTCTGGTGATCCGGAGAGAAGACACTGCAGATCGAGGACAACCACATTACAACCATACGAAAACGCGGAAGGGATGGACGGAGGCAACGCTGATGGACTAGCAGAGGACTTCCGCATATCTGAGGACGGATGATCTTGCTGACTGGCGACAGGGGTGCCCCGAGAGAAAAACAAATTGCTCAAGCCGCCCGCCCCTTGTACTGACCTAGCAGCGCTCGAGTCCGCGTTAACAGCCGCTGTGACTCCAGCCTTGGCGGCAGAGACTGCCATTCCTCCCAACGATTTCATTCCACTGAACACGGTGCCGCCAATCCGAGCAGCCGTGGTTCCGATATCTGCTTGGGAGAAGCCAAACTTGGCCGTAGTATCGGTAATTGCAGACAAATCGCTGGGAGATTGGGTTTCTGACGATATAGTGGGTTGATGTGGTGCAAGAGGTGATATGAATGCAAGAAGGCGATTAGAGAGAGCAAACGTCGATCGAGGCATGTCGGAGGATGTATACAGTGAAGTGGGGGTGTTAACGTCTGCGTCTAATTCTATTTCTGAAACACTGGTATTATTCCTTAAAGATGATGTCGAAATGATTGCTGTTGAAATGAGTGATGAAGGGATAGTATACAAAGTTGCAAAGTTGCCAGCTGAGAGGACGTGCAAATTCTGAGGATTAGAAGTAGCCTACCCAGGTAGCAGTTAGCGATAGTTCGTGGCATGTATGGAATGGAGCGCACCAGAACGACGAAATCGGACACGGCAGAGAACTGGGTCAGACCGGGAAAAGGCATGGTCTTCACAATCTCGTGGCTTCGCATCGAATAAAGAACGAAGTTCGACCAATCCCCCGTCCGACAGCTGTCATCGTGTGAGTGACACCTGAATTTATGCAACAAGAAGTTACGCACAGAACACCCAAAAGTGGACGCTTCGCCCGATGATAATCCTTCTCTAAAACGGGAGTGGGTAACACTGTAATTTGTTCCACAGCACCCCATTGAGGCCCGGATAGATTTAGCAGCTCCGATACGGAGCCCAGATTCGAACAGTCCCATACTTGCAGCCCAGATCGGTATCCGAGCAGCAGCAGACGCCTGTAACAAATGTTCGCTGCCGCATAGCGCCAATCGGATGTGTGCAGCTTACCTTGGCTTCAGGGGATCATCCTCGACCAGGGTGTCCCAGCCGGCCCAGACGATCTCCTCCGTCTCATCTGCGCTAGGATAGCGCGGAGCAGTTCGCCTGCTTCCGCGATCGTCCTGCGGGTCTTCCTCATCAAGGTTAAACACTGCAGTATCTTCTTCGCCATCCCGATGCGCGCCCCAGCCAGATACGCTTCCCGGTCGACCACTCGTGCTATCGCTCCCTCTCCGTTTCCGCGAGTCGCGCTCGTGTGGAGACATGGTCGGCGAGAGGAAGCTCCCGAAGGAGACTGGTCGGGAGACACGTGGAGGGGTGGGTCCCGCGGACGGTATAGAAATGGATGCCGGAACATACGTCCGGAGTGTGCGAGAAAATGTCTCCAACGTGGTTGGTTCGCTGTAGATGACTGGTCAGTAAAATACGGGACAAGGGCGAGGCTAGAGGTATAAGAGAATAGTTGCACTGAGATATAGGACGACGCAGGACACGTGCAGGTGACTCGTATCTCATGTGTTCCTGCACCCCGGACTCCAGACACGCAGGCTCCAGCATTACTGTCAAACATCTGATATACCGGCATGATGAGACACAACAGGCCTTGTGCATCAAATGGGCGTGAACACTAGACTACTGCGTATTGAATGTCCTGCAGAGGCCAGAGCGCACGGTCAAATGGTCAAGGCAATAGAGAAGCCAACTTCACCACGGAGGGTATTAGCGCCACATCGGATGGCATGGAGTCATATTAGAAGTCGATTGCAATAGATCACAAAATATTGCCATCGCACTGAGGGCCTGGGTCCATAAGCCAAAGAGCGCCACGCATACAAGCATGCACGGACACTGCCAGACGACGATAGACGAAATATAAAGATGTGGCGTTAGAGCACGTACCGCGAGAGAATCGGAGACCTCGTATGTCCTACATCAAGCTGGGCAGCACTCGCGGGCGGAGGCGTGGCGTATTGAGGACGACCCGCAGGCGGGCTCCGCCCTAGGGGTAAGTGCCGCAGGTCCTCCGCGTCATTACGGGGAGCGGCGTCGAACATACTCTCGACACGACCATACGCAGGGACCGACTGTGCGCTGTCACTCATGCCGAGAACGTCCCCAATGCCCTCGGGCATGTCGTCCGGCTCGGGAACGAACTCCTCGGGAGGCAATGCGGGAGGCGCGAATGGGGAAGCGTCGATGGAGTACGGCTCGTCGTCGAAAGTGGGAGCATGAGCACGATGCGAGGCAGGGTAAGAGACGGCTTGGTCGTCTGCGATTCGTTTGCGAGAGATAGCATTGCGCTTGGTCGCTGCGGGCATTAAATGATATCAAGTCGTAAGGGTGGATGCGCTGGATAGTAATACAAAGAGGGAGTAGACAAAGTGGCGGTGAACGTAAGTTAGATGCGAGACTAGATGATAATAAGCAGACGGGAAGCGCAGATAGCAGAGTTCTGTCGTCGTGGTCGCAGCGGGTGAGCGGTGGACAGAGTGCAACGACCGAGTCACTTCGCCTTTCCCCGCTGACTCCACAAGCGCCCTCCGCCGCTCTTGCTGCACTTCCCTTTTTCGGGCATCGGCTTGCTCCCCTTCTTCCTGCCGGCGGCACATATCAGGTCAAGTGCGCCTTAGCCCGCTGCTACAGCGACCATCCAGCCTTGATTGCGTGACCTATTCGTCCACGGCTCACCTCGTGATATATAACAATAATTACCCTTGTTTTCTTCCATTCAGGTAGTCGACGTGTATAATTCGATAGACGGACGTGGACTCGGTTCAGGTCACCGTCGATGGCACTAGTACTAGTAGGAGCGTATAAGCAGCTATATGCATGCTACTGCCAACGCTTCCGTTACGGTCTCTGCAGCACTCGAGCTACGTACGTAAATTCCAGAACACAGCTTCACAGCCGATATTGCCCGTCGGTCGCTGATCATGACATGATTCACATCTCGACACTCAGCGATCCCTGGGGCATTGCTCCCGCGAACCAGTCCACCTGAGGTCAATGTCGATCGAATGCTCGTCGCCAGCTGCTTTCTGGGAGAAAACTCGCGCGATCTCGTCGTCCAAACGAGAGGGTATTCAAATCCTGCTACCCCGGGGCTGCCATGAGAAAGCCAGGATGCGAACGACTCACACCACCCCAGTAGGTATGTGGCCCACTGCCCAGCCCCCGTGTTCCCATTCGCAAACGCGCAGTCAAATTCGGTGCGTGCCCATTGCCGTGCCGTCGATGGCTAAGATGGTCTGAGGCGCGGCCGCCTCGTGCGTGATCACGACACCACCGCTAGGCCGCAACGAGCGCAGCAACACGCCGCACCGGCCACCCATCACACTCATTCCTGCAATCGTCGGCGTGGCACCGTGATAGTGGACCCGGACCTGGCCCGCGGGGACATGCGACATTGGGCGCGAGGGGAGGCGGTCCACGAGATCAAGCTGGGACCGGATGCATCCAGTGCATGCGAGCCTTTGCGCGCCTGGGGACGAACGCCGCAACGTCGCCCGCGATGGGGTGATCAGCGCGCACAGCCGCGCAGGGCCGCTCGCTTTCCGCGGCCGCACACACTAGCACCGCGGCTCGCAGGGTCCTGCACCTGACGGGCGCCCGCTCCCCT